CGGCCCGCCCCGACCGTCACTTTCCTTTAAGCTAGTTGGCCCTAGTGGGGAACGGTTACAGGCCAGGGCAGCTCCAGTGCTTCCCCGAGTAGAGGCAGCGCTGTTAGAGTGTGTTCCTGCTCTCCTACAAACCCAAACTTGTCCTTGTTTTGTCTTCATTAAGGCAGGGTACAAGTTACTGCTGAAGATCCCTATCCAAACTAGCCCCAGTTTTTAAGCTACAACGCCTTTACAATCACTCTTTAGCATTTTCCCCCCTTCACCACACACTTAGCCCTTAAAGAGAAGTTATTAGTGTATCCTTTATTTGACCTGGTTTACAATACACAGACAAGGAGAAGGCTGAAGTTATTACCAAGATTATTTTTGCATCTGCAGATAACATGAGGGACTGACATTCCACAGAGCAGCACATTGGAATACATGTAGTTCCACAGTTTTAACAGTAGTATATATGTTACAACTTTACACTTTAAATTACTACATGGGAGTTGAGTAATATTGGTTATCAATCAGCAGTGGTCCCACGATTCAGGGTACAATTAGACTATGAAGATGAACAGACACAAACTGGGGAAAAAATACCAAAACAAAAAACCCAAAAACCATACAACAACAACCAAAAAAAAAACTTACAGGAATGATACATGGATATGCACTTTCCCTTAGGAAAGTTCCAGCTTAGACACATGGATCTTAAACTAAGAGCAAAATTCTAGGCCCTCTCGAAGAAAACTTTAAAAACTTTAAACTCTAGAAACACAGAAGAGTAGAAAAAAAATTAAAAAAAAAAAAAGAAAAAAGAGAGAGATGAGAGAGTTCAGCTGCTTCCAAGTATTAAATACAGCAGGTAACATGGAATATCACAAGTTTTGGTTTTTGATTAAGTTTCTATTACAAGACAGTTGCTTGCACTGTTTAACTAGGCAGCTCCTAATGCCTTTACACATCCAAGTCCAGGCGTAGCTGTCCTCTGTGCAGGCTTCTGCCTTCTTGAAGAGACATTCTGAGGCAAAGCTACTTGTTATCACATAGTCATGTGCTCTGGTAAGACATAGGATATGTCATCCCAGGGGTGACGGTAGAGGCCTTGCTTCAACCTTTTCTGATCCAGGTAGTGTCCTAAAACAAAAATGTCTTGGGTTACAAGATCAACATTCTTGGTCTTCTTAATCTTAGATTTTTTTTGCCTTGAAACAGCTTTGATTTTTGGACTTGTAGAAATATTGTACAACCCCAAAGGTTCTACTTGTCTTGCATTTGTGGTGACAGGGTATTTCATAGTAGGATGGAAGGGGAAGGAAAAAACAGAAAACTTACCAATGAATCCCATACTCCTGCCTAGGACAAAGATGCCATTAAGAGCTCCTATATCAATATATTCATCTGCTTCTTCCCTGCAAAAGAAAAGAAACAGAATGCTTCTTGATATTGGTTCATTTAAGGAGCAACTCAAAATGGCTATGAAACAGCTCTAGTGTCAGTGACAACACTGAATGCATGCAAAAGCTTCCTCCCTGTCACGAATCCAGGCTTCATTTCCTTCAGTGTCCTGAAATGATGGCCCACATGAGCTGGCAGTAAAGCCCTTGTCATTTTGATAGTGCCATGATCTAAGAGAGCTCAGTCCAGACTTACCGTGTGAAAGAGCCACAATTCCTGAGTGCATCAACAAAGGCAACTCCAATTAAGCCATCTACATTCAGGATAAGATTTGGTTTCTGAAGGAAATAAAAACACACCACAAATTAACAGAGTTTGCCATTGTGAACATCTGCACACAGGCCATTCCTCCCTCAAAAAGAGGGCTCAAAACAAGGTAAATACCAGCACATTTTACCTTGGAAGTTGTAATTTTTTCTACTTCAAGTGCATAGTCCAACAGTGGGGTGGCAGGGAAATGCTGCTTCACATAGTCTTTGAGAATCTGAACTCTCATATCTGGATTATTTATCTGCAAGTTAAAAAAACCACCCAAATGATACATACACATCTTTCTACTTTGGCAAATAAGCTTTATTATTTACATATCTAAGATTTGAAGCTTGAGATTGGAGCTCTTTGAGTACCTAGCTGCTTTTGAAAGGTGCTAGAGCTACCCTTTTTTATTCCCCTTCTTCCCCCACCTCGAAATCCAAAACAACTCTTCTCATTTGTACCTGCAATACAGATTTCTTACCGATTTGACTCGGTGTCCAATGCCCATGATAAGTCTCCCTTCCTTCTTCATTTTATTCACAAACTCCATGGGGATAATGCCACTGTCAAAGGCTTTGCTGAACATTTTAGCTGCAGCATCCAGTGCTCCTCCAAACCTGTCACCCTGGGTCCAACACACAAGGGAGCTTTAGCAGAGGACTCTACAGTTAAACTCCAAAACAAATACAAGACAGATCTTCCACATCCTTCTTGCCTATTAACGTGGCAATCATTAATCTAGCTAGGCAGGCATCTGTTTATAACTGACAAGTGTCAACAAGTAGCTAGTGGAGTCTGTATTAAAGAGAGAAATGCAACCTAAAGCCCATTTTATTCTAGTTATTACCTACCAGTCTTGGAAAAGACTTAGCAACTCTGCATGGATAGCTTCTGCAAAAGATTTGTAGATTCAAACATAAGTCTTGCTTAAAAGTGGAATAGATTTTAAATCTACAGCAGAGAAGCTCAACAGTAAAATCTTCCCAGTAACTTCTCACTGGGATCAAGCTACTTGCCTACGTATCGGTGTTGAATTTGGCAGAAATTCAAAGTGTGAGTGACAGTCTAGTCCACGACTGTGTAGTCATTTCAAATCCTAACTTGCTAGTAGTAAAACCTAGACTGATTAGTGAGTAATAAAGTGAATCTCCTGGATAACAAGTACTCACGATAGTAAGGAGTAAAACCTAGACTGATTAGTGAGTAAAGTGAATCTCCTAGATAACAAGTACTCACGATAGTAAGAAGGCCTGAAGTGAGACTTGAGACAAGATCTTTTCCTGCTCTTGCACAGACAATAGTGTTGTGGGCTCCAGATACAGCAGGCCCGTGATCTGCCGTTACCATCAGACACATCTCAATAAACTGACAGGCATATTTTGGTAACCTGACCAAGAGAGAGACTGAAGTCATTTATCAAAGCAAACAGTAACCTGGCACTCGCATGTTACACTGGATAACAACTTCCATTTTAGGTTTATGCGTGATGCAGATTTTATTTGTATTCTATCTAGCTTTCACAGGAGCTACATAGCTCCCAAGGTGAGTTGTCACATATTCAGGTGATCAATAAGCTCTGAGGTCCTCTCAGAGGAGGGACAGATTTCAGCAAGTGTCAAAAATGCTTCTTATGAATGTGTAACCAGCCCAGATGAAGGCAGAAAGCAGCTTTGCTATTCAGGTTTCCATGGAGGCTAGTAAGCAAATATGCACAGAACTGCCAGTCTCTCCAAGGCTGAAATATGACAGCTGTAACAAGTCAAAGGATGGAGAACAGGACTAGAATGGAATTTTTCCTCAACGCATCACAACACTTGTTGAAAATCTTCTTCCCAAAGCTGAACTACACTGTAAGAAGCCTTGAAATGCTGATGTGGTCTCAAAGGGAGTGGATATAGGCATGATATTTCCAGTGAGTATGTTTGTGAAAAAATCCTGGAGCTATAACTGTCTATTACTAGAAGACAAGTGTCAAGTCAATTTGGGAGCTTTCCCAAAAGCTGCCTTACCTCCTTTGAAACCAGAGCAGTCCCAGAACCCCTCCAATTCCCATTTCTTCTTTGAAGACCTCAGTGATGGGCATCCCAGCATAAATCAGTTCCTGACCTCTCTCATCACAGATGCTGGTCATAAAGGAAGCTGGCTTGCGGATGAGACCCAGCTCCTGGAATTGCAGCATAGATGGGATTTTAACAACCCACCCTTAAAAGCAAGGGACACCGGGAGGCAAGTACAGAGTGACCAAGCAAGAAAGTGTTAAACTTGCCCTCAGCCTCCACAGCCCAGTAACAGGCACAGCCAGGGAGCCCACAGACAAGCTACAAAGCATAAGATATAAATTCCACAGATAACTTATCACCATAAACATCAACAGCCACAGCAAACATCCTGCCTGGTTTTCAAGGAACCAAAGAGTCAGGCAAAATAGCATAGCTCACCCTTGCCCAGGAATAGTCCATTGGCACAGTGGGAGGAGGCACTTCCTCAGCTGGTTCAATCACTCTTCTGGCAACAAGATCCTGATAGACAGACCTAGGGAGAGAATTCAGTTAAGTCTTTTCAAGAATATGATTGAGGCAGACAATCTAAAAGAAAAACCCAGAAGTAGCTTTTCTAAAGCAGGAATACATTCGTGTATTAGCTCACAGTGAGTGCCCCAAGTTTATAGGCCCTGCTCAATGTGACTCACTGAATGAGCTCTCCCAGCTCATCAAAACTCCGGGGAACAAACACACCAGCTTCCTTCAAAGCCTTATTCTTTGCAACAGCAGTTTCAGAAGCCTGGTTGGCACAAGCTCCTGCATGGCCAAACTGCACCTATAAAACAAACAAAAGAAAAAAACAATAGCAGGAAGGAATAGAAGCCTTTAATTGCAGAGGAAGAAAGCAGAACACAGATCTCACTAGCAAACCGACTAACACGAGTGACTGTGTCCAGCTACTTGTTTGGGTGAACAAATCCCTGCGGTAGCTGGTCAGTGCTGCAATAAAAAGCAGAACACAGATCTCACTAGCAAACTGACTAACACAAGTGATTGTGTGTCCAGCTACTTGTTTTGGTGAACAAATCCCTGTTGTAGCTGGTCAGTGCTGCAATAAGAGTGTTTGCTCATCTAGAATCACTCCAGGCTCTTCCAACTGACATGGTCTTCCTAAATTCACCCCATTCTCCAGAGTTCCTTTCCATAAGCACCTTCCCCATTCCTACTTCTGAATTCCCCCAGCTACTAAAATCTGTTCCATTCACTGGGGTCTCTGGACTCCTTTGACTTGCAAGCAGATTACTTTGCAAGCCTCCAGTGACAAGCTATAGAAGTATAGAAAGCTTTTACAGTATTAAAGTCTGCATCTTAAAGCACTACTGGCAACTCTAGAAGGTTTAGGTGAGTTGGAAGAGCAGGATATTCTCCTCCTGCCTCATATATTTATTTAGCTTATGCAGTTGCACGTGTTTATGCACCTACCTCTGAGGAGAACATGGTAGCACAGGTACCAATACACCAGCACACCACTGGCTTGGTGATACGGCCTTCTTTAATACCCCTGCAGATCTTATACTCCTCTGTGCCTCCAATCTGCAGAAACAAAGAGCACCGACTTGGCTCGGAGCTTGCACAGAAATCAGCCCCAAAGGGGACACAGAAGCACTGCTTGCTTTGCCCCTTCCTCTCCCCTTTTTCACTGGGCAGTGCCTACAGCCTGGAAAAACAAAAACTACAGCTCCCTTACTCAGAGGGACCAATATATAGAAAGATATTCAAAATCATTATGAATAGCTGCCACACATTTATGGGTGTTACTTGGCATTCTTGCAGCTAGGTCAGATGCTCCCAAGTGACTTATGAGAGGAGGGGAACCACAAAAACAGACTTGAGGATTTCTCAAATATGAGTGATCTGGTTTCACTCACCTCCCCAAGCACTACAATCATTTTCACTCCTGGGGTATCCTCATAGCGTAAGACATGATCCATAAAGGTCGAACCAGGGTATCTGGGTAGAATGCAGGGAAAATGCCAGGAGTTAGATTTGTTCCCAAATGTTTCTGAAGGAAGAAGTGTTAACAGACAATTTGCCTTTTCCCCTCTAAATCACTAACATCCAGGAAGTTTCTGCTGTTGACTGACTTCAAAGGGTGTCTTTGCAGCTACAGAATCTTACCTGTCTCCTCCAATGGCCACCCCTTCATAGACCCCATCCGTGGTTCGAGAGATTATGTTGTTGAGCTCGTTGGACATCCCTCCGGAGCGGGAGACATAGGCCACGCTGCCAGGACGGTAGAGTTTCGATGCTAAGATGTTGTCCAGCATACCTCCTGTGTTGCCTATTTTAAAGCAACCTGGTTTGATCCCACCAACCTACAGAAGATTTAGAGAAAGACACAAAGTCCTTTAAAACATACACAGGGATTTATGTGCATTTCTATAAAGCTGCCTTTTCCAATCAATGTTTAGACAAATACCAGGACAGTACTAGGTACTAGGTCCTAGGACCTTCAAACTGGTAAAAAATCGTGCATTTTAGCTGTCTAAAGACAAAAGAGATTGTCAGAGAAGGCTGATTTGAAAATTAAAATAGATAGGTAAGAAGAGAAAGAAAAGCCATCACTCCTTACAGTTGCAGGGCCAATGATGGTGACTCCTTTCTTATCAGCAGCCTTGATCAGCTTGCGTGTCAGTGCCTCGGGGATGCCCTCAGCAATAATGGCAATTGTGCGAATCTGCAAGGAGACAGAGTGCTCAGTGTCATCTTAACAGGTCCAGAGGAGCAGAGTTCCCTTTACACAAGTTTTAGAAGTTTATCCACACAATATCACACCCTGCATTACAGAGTTTGTTATACAATTCCAGTATCTTCCACAGAATCTACAAGGAGTTCAATTGCAACACGCATCTGCCAAGCCAGCAGACTCCAATGCAATCTGCTAGTGTTCTTATGGTTTCAGAAACACTGGTCTCCTTGACCATTTGAGCAAGAGCTTCCTCCTTTTCCTGAGCTTTTGATTCCTCACTCACCTGGGGATAGTTCATCGTTTCCACAGTGCTGTCGTAAGCAGAGCGCAGAGATGCGAAGTTGATCAGAACATCCACCTCAGGGTGCTTCCTCATCGCATCAGACATGTTCTTGTACACGGGGATCAGGATTTCTTTGTGGCCCCAGTAGAACTTCTGCCTGTGGTCACCACTACGAAAGAAAAGACAACAAGGCCTTAAGGTTCTTCAGGCTGCTGCAAAGACAAGGAGATTCAATGCATGCAGAGAGGGGTTTGCAAACCCCAGTTCTCAGACACCAGAACTGACTGCAAGACACTCACTATCACGTGAGCACACACAGGAAGGGACCACACTAACAGCAGAAGTTCCTCAGAGCATAGAACAGAGCAGCATATGGAAGGAGATGGACTAATGGGGACAGAGGCATCCAGCAAGATGAATAAGCTCTCCCACTGTGAAGTTACCAGAGCCTTAATTCTACTCCAAGCTGGAAGACAGAACGAGGCAGACTAATGAATGAGGTGCAGGCAGAGCTGTGTTATGGGCTGGAACAATCCTGGCCTGGAGGAACAGGGAGCCAGTGTCTGTGGGGAAGAGCCAGAGCAGCCATTCAAGGACCAGCCAACTCTCCAGGTCTGCTCCAGTGATTCCACCCCACACTGGAGCAGATGTACTTGGAAAAGCTTTTCTGCAAATGTTTTTCATATAGGATAGGCTTTCTGAATGGAGCTTCACTGTATCACTGCTGCTCAGTCATTTCAGAGCCTAGAGATACTGGCTGTGTTCTCATTCTGTCACGAATGTTACACCATATTTCCCAGTTTCCAGTCTGGCTTCCTCCAAAAGGTCATGCAGACACAACATTGTTCCTTCCTAGCCTAAACTTTCTATCCCTATGGCCTTTTCCTCATTAAACAGCTGCCACCCTGCGGTGCCTGCATTCAGTTTTAGTACCTGGGAACAGGCACTTGCTGGGAAGGGATCAGAGCCGCAATCACCAGCGCTGCAGGCAAAGAGCACAGGGTGCTTAATGGACAGCTGGGGGGAAGACTCCTCTGCGTGACAGAGGTTGATTAATCAGCAGTTACCCTGGGTGTCCATGAATCCCACAGGAACTGAACCAGCCTCCTGGCCTTGCTGCGGCTCCTGCAAGGACCCTCCACACTCAAAGTAGTTCAGTACAGTAAGAGGAGAGGTTCCATGGGGTCGACTGATGGCAATGTGAAATACTTACGTTAATAGTTTCTCCCCACAGCTGTTCCTCACCATATTATCTGGCTCTAGCAACTAAGATTAAACAAGATAAATGGCACAAGAGAACTCTGCATCAGACCATGGGATCTGCAGACTTCCTGCCCTCTGCAAGAAACTGCTGCCACTGTCAGATTGTACAAACAAGAGGGGAAAAAATAATTCCATCTGCTTCTCTATCAGGCAGACTATGTTCAATCTGATCAGTAAAGCTACTCTGATTCTGGCTGGTATTTGGAGGGGAAAGTTCCAGCAGGCACAAATTGATTTGCTCCAGACAAGTACACAGCAAATACTAGGCAAGTGGAGACCCCTAATACAGTCTTCCTGCCTCCATTAAGCCAATGGGCTAGTGTAAGAGCCCAACTAGCATTGCCTTCCTCACCTGTCATGCAGAGAAAGCAAATTCAGACCCTCTTGGAAAAAGGATGAAGTGGGACTTGAAACAGCTCCGTTTTAGCCCTGAAATTTCATGGAGCATCTTGCAATCAATGGCTGAGGGAAACACAAGGAGCAGCCTGCAAAGCCAGTTTGATGGCAGGAGGGAGCAAGGTGTGAACGTAGAGATGTAGATTAGGGCAGGGCTGTGCTAAAGAATAACAGCAGTTGGAAGAGAGGAAACTGAGGGAAGGATTCGGGAGAGGCAGCAGCCAGAGGACACTCACGTGAACGGATAAACCATGGCAGCTACTGAAGGTTCGTCCCGGGAGCAAACGTAATCGAAGTCCAGCATTCCCTGCACTGCCCGTGTCTGCATCCCCCAGATGATGGCCTTGGTGTGACGGCTGAACAGCGTCGTAGCTTTACCTGCCCAGGAAAGGGAAGAAAACGAGACACACACCCAAAATGGACCTCTGTGCAGGACAAAAGTCACAGGGCAACTGCCTGCTGCAAGTCTCCCAAATAAGCATGTTCCCCTCCCTCCAAACCCGACCCAACAGCTCGGCTGCAGGGGGTAGTAGCCACACTAGCCAACTTAAGGAAGAAACTGCAGCTGAAGCAGCATCCCCCTTCCCAGGATTCTGAACACAACAGCCAGGTTTTGGGTTTCACAGAAGGGGCAAGTGCCTCCTCCTCTCCCCAGAGAGGTCAACCATATTCTCCAGCAACTGGGTGTTTTCTGCAAAGCCATAAAAGGAAACTTTGCCTTTTATTATTAATATATGGCCCATAAAGTCCTTGTGAGGGGACCACACAAGGCCTGGTACACATATCAGGAGGCCACAGCAGGAAATAGGGGAGCACAGGAATACAGCAAAAGTCATTTGCCCCCCTCTAGCTCTTTTTGGTTTTGAGAATTCAGTAACTTTTGGGACAATCAGTTAATGCAACCCAAAACGTGGCTTTGGGGGACAGAGTCACAGGAAAGGCAGTAGTTCAGCTAGTGAAGATGGACCAGTTGCTTGAAGTACATTTACATCATTTGTCACAGCAAAACATTCAGTTTGACTCCCTTTGATTCCCCCCAGTTTGTTTCAAGACTCTTAAGAAGCCTGAGCTGATTCCTTAAATCGAAGCTGATCCAACTGCTGAGCACAACTCAGTTTCTTTCTGGCTTTGAGTCACAGACAGAAAACATTAAGGACTCTGCAAGATACTGGTCTCTTCCTTTAGCAAGAAATCAATCACTAATTCCCCTGCACAGTCACAGTTTAGATGAACTGCCACATGGCTTGTATTTAGGAAGCTCACCTCCACCGAAAAAA